CAGCCCCCCACACCCGATGCACCCCCCACATCCTGACTCTTGCACACCCTACATCCCCACCCCCACCCTGAGCACCAAATGAGAGCTCCTGCACACACACCCCACATCCCCACCCCCACCCTGAGCACCAAATGGGAGCTCCTGCACATCCCCCCCACATCCCCAACTGCACCCCTCGCACCGGAGCTGCCCAGGTAAGTGCCCCACACCCAAACCTCCTGCCCCAACCCTGAGCCCCCTCCCTCATTCTAGCTCCTGGCCAGACCCTTCACCCCCAGCCCTGTGCTCAGTGCACTCCCACCCTCAGCTCAGTGCAGAGAGAGGAAGAGAATGGGCCAGAACCAGGGAGAAGGTAGGTAACCCACTGTATGTGGGCAGGGCCGGGACCCCATACCGGCAGCTGGCTGAGCGGGTCCGGCAGCCGGAATCCCGGCTGGCAGGAGCCGGCAGATGGTACCCCTGAGAGGCAGTGGGCTGAGCGGCTCAGCCCACTGCCGGTCTGGGGTCCCAGCCGCCGGCCCCGCACAACCCGCTGCCGATCTGGGGTTCTGGCTGCCGGACCCTTGCCAGCCGGGGTCCCGGCTGCAGGCCTCACTCAGCCCGCTGCCGGTCTAGGTGAACAGAACCCCAGACCAGCAGCGGGCTGAGCGGGCCGGCAGCATAAGATCAACATTTTAATTTAATTTTAAATGAAGCTTCTTAAACATTTTGAAAACCTTGTTTATTTTACAATACAACACTAGTTTAGTTATATAATATATAGACTTATAGTGAGAGACCTTCTAAAAAACATTAAAATGTATTACCGGCACGCGAAACCTTAAATTAAAGTGAATAAATGAAGACTCGGCACACCACTTCTGAAAGGTTGCCGACCCCTGTTCAAGGTCTCAAAATAGATCTGTGGTGTGAGAATACAAAGAGAATCCACAATGAAATTTGCAAAACAGACACAAACTTTTCTTAGAAACCCTTTGAACAATAAGTGCAGAAATTGACTCAGGAGGAGTTAATTTTGTACTCTTCAGGAAGCGCACTATAACAGAATAACTTTAATGGACATATGTAAGCCTGCTCTCTACAGGTTAAGTGTCACTGCGAATTATGTCTAGAGCTTCCCAAGATCTTTGTAAACACTTCACAACAGTTCTGTCCTCTTTTTGCCAACTAGACGTTCTTTGTTACATTCCCTAATAGCACTGAAAAACAAGAACAAGTGAAATTTAAGGGTAATTTCTTACTTATGAATCTGTCTGTGCATGGACTGGATAGTTCCCAGTCCAGAGGCTAGTTTGTTATTATTTCCATCTGCCCATGATGATAAAGGCATCTCTAAACATGGCTCCACAATAGCTGTTATTCATAAATATCGTGCACAAATACTCTATGAAATCTCTTCCAAAACAAATACTATAGACACTAAAGACCAACGTGAGTAGAACGAGGGGGAGAATTGCAAACTCAAGTCAGTTAGGTGCCTAACTGCCATCTGTGCCTTTGAAATTCTTCCCACTAGTGCCTAAGTCTTGCATGCAACTATCCCAACAAAGGGGCAAATGAGTGTTTATTGGCCTGATCCAATTCCCATTGAAGTCACATCTGCACAGCTGGTATAATGATTCAGGTGCAGAGGGTATATAATTGCCCCAATGCTTGTGAAGTTACCTGTAATAACAGGGAACTGCATGTTTGGGCCTGAATGTGCATATTTGGTATGCACAACACAGGCATTCAATTTTGAAAACTTGCCCCTGTGGGTCATAAAGTAAAATGCTCTCAGTGCACGTCTCACATTCCCATTGATACCCATGGGAATGGCATGTGCGTTTCAAGGGTGTCATAAAGCCAAAAATATACAATATTAATAAAGTAAAATTTTAACCAAACAGATTAAGCATCCTCCAGGTTTGTAGATGTAGGACTCCATGAGGAAACCAGTGAGTCACCTGCTCAAACTTAGCCCCCTTCCAATCAGCCCTCTACAGATGTAGCATGCAGTACTAAACATAAAAAAGGAAAGATTTTTAAAAGCCATTCCTATTCTAGAGACCAGGTAGGTGAGCTAATATCTTTTACTGGACCAACTTCTGTTTGTGAGAGAGACAAGCTTTTGAGCTTACACAGAGATGAAAGAAGAGCTCTTTGTAAGCTCAAAAGATGGTCTCTCTCACCAACAAAAGCTGGTCCAATGCAAGATATTAGCTCACCCACCTTCTCTCTCTAATATCCTGGAACCAACACAGCTACAACAACACTGCAAACATTCCTATTCTAAGCAGTTTTGTTTCTATAGTGCTTTCAGTCAGCTCTGCACATTTCCACTTGTCCAGTTGCACAGAGTGAATGGATTATCTTTAGCTTTTTCATCTTCATCAGTTATTATAGAAAAGGACAGAGGAATAGATTTTTTTTTTTTGATTTTTTTTTAACCAAAGTAAAAATTTTCTGATAGTTTTGTCAGGCTTCTTAAATGTCAATGCTACTGTATGCTTTTAAAGTTAAGTGCAGAGACTTACCTTAAGTTTACGCCGAGCATTGAATTCTTGAAGTTTCTTTTGTGCATTGTCCATATGTGCAAAATTGGCTGCCTTTCCTGTGACCCAAGGGTGCTGCAAAGCTTGAAAGGTCGTGAGGCGCTTCTTAGCATCAAACACAATCAACTTTTTAACCTATGTCATCGAGAAAAGAAAGTCAACTTTCTTCCCCAATGATATGTAGTGAGTCCTACATTATGGGGTTTGTTCTTGGTTTTGTGAAGCTGCTCAGTTAAAGGCTCTCTAGGAAACAAACTATCATTTTTTGTTGCTGTTCAACAAACGAATTCTAGAACTAGCAGACTCAACCCTGGAACATAGGTTGTTACTACTTATCTTCAAAATGGAGATAATACTAAGGGCTGGTCTACACCCAGCCGCTAGTTCGGCGGCTGGGGATCGAAGTTCTGGGTTCGACTTATCGCGTCTGGTCTGGACGCGATAAGTCGAACCAGGAAGTGCTCGCCGTCGACTGCGGTACTCCAGCTCGGCGAGAGGAGTACCGCGGAGTCGACGGGGAGCCTGCCTGCCGCGTGTGGACCGCGTCTGAACCGCGGTAAGTTTGAACTAAGGTATGTCGACTTCAGCTACGTTAGTCACGTAGCTGAAGTGGCGTACCTTAGTTCGACTTGGGGGGTTAGTGTAGACCAGGCCTAAGTGTCTTGCTCAAAGACACAAATGTGCTACTGAAAAAAAAATCTTTCTTTTGCTGTTGAACACTATGCTGTGTGAACTAGCGCGTTTTCATTACAGCTACAGTAGGTGAATGCATTTGTCTAAGCTGCCAAGGAGAATATAATGGTTAATGGTAAATGGGCTTAAGTATAAAAGAGAGAAAGAGACACAGGCAAAATAAACACATTCACTTTGATTTTGAACCTCCATGTACCAATTTTCTTGTATTACTTTTATTGTAGCTCAAGTAGTTTATAGCACTTTACCAATTAAAAAAATAATCCTGCATCTACTGTAAGTACAATATGTAAATTGATTGTAAAGTATGGCCATAAGAAACATTGCATTTGAATGGGTAAAAGCATTCAAAGCAAAGGCATTATGCTTATTTGATGACTTAGGTCAGGACTACCACTGACTGCAAGGCTACATTAGAAAGAGTATTGGTACACCTCACAAGTTTTAATGTTATTTATAGTGAACAACAGTGGGGATTAGATTACACAGTGGTTGAAAGAGGCATTTAACTTTTTTTGCAAATTTGGGTTAAAAAATGTGCATGGAATATCACGGCTAGTGGTGAGGGTTAAGTGATAACTGAAGTGTGTTTTAAATGGTGTTGTGAAGGGTGTCATATAGTCTTTCATTATCATGAGTCCTTGACTTTCAGAAGCAACAAATCCACTGCTTTTTCCACTGAGTCTGGAAAAAGTGCTTGGCACACCCATTGACTTTCACTAGCTCTGTGATTGTCTTTGGATCCAAGACTCACCTGTTGGCAGCCATTAGCATCTTTCAACATAACAATATTTAATTTTAAAATTGCATTTAATAGGCTTAAATCACATATACCTCAAAATATTGTGTAATTCCTGAATCACACTCTTACCTACTGTATTTAGACCTCTACCGCAGCAGAATCAGGGCATTATTTCAGTAACATTTCACTTGCTATCAAATGTGGATTTTTAAAATTTTGGGGATTTAAGTTTTAAAGGTGACTGGAAAGTTTTTAAAAATATAAACCAAACTACCTAATATCCCACATAAAAAGCCATATTTTCAGAGTTAGGCACATGACCTCAAGTACATCTGTGCATACAAATGCCCACTGGAAGTGTGCAAAATAGGCTTTTTTTTTAAGTTCTGTGTATTCTTACTTTACACCCCATAGAATGTACTTTACAAATGTGCAAGTTGTACTACGAAAATGGGTTAGGCATCATTGTTCACAGCTCAGTGAAAACATCTGCTCAATGCACAGTGGTGGGTCAAAAAAGTAAACAACATTTTAGAATGTTTAAAGGAACTGAACAGAAATTAATACAGGGCCAGATTCTATCAGAGATGGCAATTCCTATCATCCTATGGAGGCATAGGTAAGCAGCAGAACCTGTACAATTCTGCTTATTGGAGCTTTATCCACATTAGCAGGTAATAGTAACTGCAGGAGTGCTGCTGTAGGCAGGTGTCACGTTATTGACTTGAACTGGGACCATATAGAACATGGTTGCAACCAAGGTCCTGTAGGGGCACCAAATCTTGTATAAAAGGGGTCTATGGAAAGGTTATGGTTTGCTGGTTATGATTATGCTGTCTATATGTGTGTATCATTTTGTAGTTGAAGTTATGAATATTGGCTCTATATGTCTGTGTTTCAAACTTATGCTATGCTTCTGGGTGACACCCCAGACAAGTTGGTGTCAGCTCTGCCTAGCCTGCTTGAGGGCCCATTAAGGACCATCAGCTATACAATTGACCCACTGAGAGAAGGCAGATATGCCTTGAGACTCAGCAAAGTATGCAGGGACTTGCCTATGTGACTCCATACTCCATTTTGCTGTAATTTTCCACAGTAAGAACAAAGAGGTGTTCTTACACCTGGAAAAGACTATAAAAGGCTGATACCTCATCTCCATCTTGTCTTCAATCCTGCTTCTTACCTCTGGAGGGACTTTGCTACAAACGGAAGCTCTACACAAAGGACTGATGACCCATCCCAGCGGGGGATGTATTCCAGAGACTTGATTTAAACCTGTAGTTTATTCTATCACTGCTACAAGCCTGAACCAAGAACTTTGCCATTACTGTATGTAATTGATTCCATTTAACCAATTCTAGCTCTGTCTATCCTTTTCCTTTTATGAATAAACCTTTAGGTTTTAGATTCTAAAGGATTGGCAACAGCGTGATTTGTGGGTAAGATCTGATCTGTATATTGACCTGGCTCTGGGGCTTGGTCCTTTGGGATCAAGAGAACCTTTTTTCTATTACTGGGATATTGGTTTTCCTAACCATTTGTCCCCATAATGAGTGGAACTGGTGGTGATACCAGGAAACTGGAGTGTCTAAGGGAATTGCTTGTGTGACTTGTGGTTAGCCAGTGGGGTGAGACCAAAGTCCTCTTTGTCTGGCTGGTCTGGTTTGCCTTAGAGGTGGAAAAACCCCAGCCTTGGGCTGTAACTGCCCAGTTTTAAGCAATTTGTCCTGAATTTGCACTCTCAGTTGGGTCCCGCCAGAACCAGCATCGTTACAGCAGGGCACAGGTATTTTCACCACTGTGTCTTCTAGACCTGCTGTTAGCAGAGCTAGATGACACAGATTTATCTACACTAGTGCTTCCACCATTGCTCCAACTGGTGGAGCTGCACCTATGTTAGTGCAATGGTGGGAGATTTCCTGAAAAATGCCACAACCGATGCAGCTTTGGCATGTGGAAGGTGTGGGGAGCTGAGCAAATAGGTGTGCATGGTGAAGCTGTGTTCCACAGATGTCCATCCACATGAGGGCAGAGTGGCATTGTAGAAAAAAATAAAAAAAAAGTGGACACAGGAGGAGGACTGTAGCCAGTGGATCTAAAAATACACAGATCTCCTGGCTGAACACCCTTCATGAGCAGGGTGCACTGTGGCTGTGGAGTAGCTCTGCTACTGCTCCATGACCTAAGCAGGGGAAGGGGGATTCTGTTTATCCCCACTCTGGTGGAATTCCCCCACAAGTACTTTGAGGGAAAAACCACTGCCCTCCTAAGAGCAAGTCAGAGTGTCACTGTCGTGTGTGCGCCCTGTGAGTCTAAGCAGCAATTCTGGATCAGTTAGTAAGAATGCCTCTTTGTGGCTCCAACTGCAATGCAGCTGCTCATCCCTCCCTACAGCATGGGTCGTGGCTTCAAAGCCACAAACTGACTCAATCTCTGGTTCAGGTTTTACTTCCAACCATTCAGAATTGAAAATATGAGCTCCATTAGAGCAACTGCGCTGATACAACTTGCATAAATGCCGTATGCACACAAAGACCATCCACTTAGCTCTACTGCGGGGTATTGTTTAGCTGACCTTTGCCTACGCAGAGATGTAAATGACATTTTTCTCCATCTCAGAAATACTCTAAATCTAATACAACAACAATAAATACTTCGAACCTCTACAGTGCCTTTCATCCAAAGCATCCTGAAGTACTTTACAAACATTAATTAATGTAGCGTTTTATGGCACAGTTTGTACAAGTGATATGGAACTGAACATTTGTTACTGTAATTTTAATGAAATAACTAAATTGTGTATGTATCATTGGGTAAAAATAGAAGTTGGACATGTTCATCTTTGTAAATCAGTATCTTTCGGATCCAATTTACTTTACCCAGTAATCAAAGGATATAGTGCAGATAATGCTCCAGCCTTAGCATTTTACTAATGGATCATACTTAAGGGCAACGACTCTGCCTCATCTACTAAAAACTGATTACAGAAAGCTGAGAAATGGACAGAATCTTATAGTCAAACAACAGCTGGGGCCTTTGTTATTTAATCTTTATAAGGAAAAAAGTTCAAACGCGAAACTATACAAACTATGGGGGGTTAGTTTTTATAGCCCTTTTGAGGTTGAAACGCCATGAAGAAGAAAGAAATGGAAAGAAAAAAAAACTACTCAAAGAAATGATACCTACAAAAAAAGTCAGACACTAGAATCTTTAGCCAGACCTGATCTTGAACAAGTGATGTATGATATAGTGTGGGGACTTTTTACTGTAATTTAATAGACTTAAAAAAAAAAAAACCTATTCTGCAATAATCTCTGAATTTCTACAGCCTAATTTACAAGAGTACTTCACAGCCACAGCTTTAACTGATGTCAGCAGGGGCAAGAGGTGCTCAGCATCTCTGAAATTCAGGCCACTGGAATCTATGGTTGTTATTTCATTTTAACAAATTAGTCTTGATTTGCAGGCAAACAAGATAGGCTGGGATCAAAGTGAGATGAGGATATATGTGAAAAAGCTCCACACAAATACTGTTTGCCTTTGGGGAACTATGTCACATGTGCATCAGAGAAAATACTACACTTTGTGTTCTTGTTGTACTTACCAAATCCTTGGCATTTAGAGACACGTCATCCCACCAGGGGGACACAAAGTCATATTCACAATTCAAAATTCTTTTAAACATGTACTGGTCTCCCCTTTCATCATAGAATGGTTCAAATCCACAAAGTCTAAGAGGAAAAGAGAGCGAAATTTATCAAAGATCTAAGTGATTTCAGGCTCCAAGGAACATTCCCCTATGTGATTTTTACTCACTACACAGCTCTTTTCCCACCCTGCATGTGAAAACAGAACTACTTTTAATTAAAAAAAACAAAAACAAAAATAACAAACCTTTGCTTGGGTCTTTATACATGTCACTTTAAGTGGTCCCTATATAGATATATATACACACACACATTATAGGCAGGGCTGATCACATCACCTATTATTAAGGTTGCCCGACACTTTCCATTATAAGACGCTGTTTTCAGTTGATTATAACTTTGTCAGACTTCAACTGTTTAAGCTGAAATTGTCCATGATGGGTGTCTGCCTCAGGGTGGATTTTTTGGAAACATTCAGGCAAAATAGTTCAGTTGTTTCTGAGAATGATGCTAGGAAAAATGGTGTTTGGCCCATGTTAAAAAATTCTGGTGACCTTGTCTTTGAGATGTTCTAGCACCCAGTGCTTTAGAGCAGAGACTTGACATTTGACGGTGGGGGGAGTCTAGTTTCAGGCATCTGAACTAAGAGCAGGGAGACTCTCTCTCCTGTGATCTCAATAACACCCTGCTGGGCCTAGGCAGCATGAAGGAGAACTTTAGAGGGGACAAGAATTGGATCTTCAGGAAGGTAACAGGCTGGGACAAGGGGCCTCGTGGAGAGGAAGGACAGAAACTGGGATTGGGAGTTGGGGTGCAGGAAGACTGGGACTGGCTGGGCAAGGTGAATGGTACTGGGAGCCAGGGAGAAACAGGGGATGGAAGTGGGGGGACTGGGAGCCAATAGTTAGTGGGGAGACTGAGATTGTATGAGGAGCTAGAGCAGAGACAAGGACAGTCTGGGCAAGGAAAATGGGACTGAGGGGGGATGAGAAGCTGGGGTGGAGGGGGAGAACTGGGAGTGGCTGGGCAAAAAGACTGGGACAAGGAGCTTTGGACGGGGGCATTATTGCGATTAGATGAGAAGCCTAGAGAGGGAGATTAGGACTGGGAGCCAGTGAGGATAAGGAATGTGGGCAAGGGGTGACTGGAAGCTAGGGTGGGGGAGAAAGATAGAGTGGAGGAGGCGCCAGGAAGAGGAGAACTGGGGACAAGGAACTGAGGTGGGTGAGGAGACTGTGAGCCAGGAGACTGGAACTGGGAGTCCAGAAGGGTGAGACTATCACTTGCAGGAGGAGACTGGGAGTGGAGATTGGGATTGACTAGTTGAGGAGAATGGGATGGGGACGAGGAACCAGGGATGGGGAAGAGACAGGATGAGACGGGGTCAGGTTGGAGGGGATGAGGCAGAAGGAGTCACACTTGGGGGTGGGGGGGATAGGCAGAAGAGTCTATGCTCACGGGAGCACAATATCCTACAAAGCCTGGAATAGAACCCAAGATTCTCAAGTCTCACCATTCCTCTGCTGTCAGCAAATATCTCCCACTAGCAATGTGTCCCTCCTCCTCCAGTGCTTGTCCACACAGAGGATTAGAACCTATTACTGCTATCAGTTACTCCATTCGCTCAAGTGGCAAAAGCCTGTGCAGTGAGGCTAAAGGTATCAACTCTGATGATGACTCATGTGGGTGGCAACAGGATGCTATGATGGAATTCCTGTATTTTCAGTTTGCTTTTTTAAAAACTTAAGAAATCACATTAAAAATACTAGAAACATTAAGATTCAGTCAAGCACTCAAAAGTTAGGAAGTACCACAATTAAGGTTGACTGTGTAACCTTAATTCGGGCTCTTTAGAGTACGTATTATGATCCAGTCTAATTACATGACTACATACCATTTTTTCTATGGAATTTGTCTAATTCATTGCACAGATTGGACCTACTCTGGGGATGAATCAGGGTTGTGTAGTGATGGAGGCTGCTGCCTGTAGGACCACTGCCTCGTTTGTTGCAGATGATGGAAGGTGCGCAGGGAATGACCGTGGGGACTGCAGGAAGAGAAGGGATGGTTCTCTAAGTTAAGGCAGTTGGATGCTGCCCTGGAGAAATGGATTCTGTCCCTGCCTCTGCCAGAGAGTTCCTGTGTGATTCTGGGCAAGTCATTTAACCCAACATTTTTACAGGTCACTAATTATGTGCACGTCAGTTTTTGGGGACTGATGAGATAGCCTAGGGTCTGATCTGCAGAAGAGCTGAGTGCTCATAGCTGCAACTGAAGTCAATGGAGCTGTGCTTTGAACATATATAGTGCTATATGAAAATGCTACAAATACTCTGAAAAGTTAGGTCCTAGGCATTTCACATTGGGCATCCAAAATTAGAGGATACTTTTGTCCTTAAAAATCTCTCTGTGCCTCAGTTTCCCACATGTAAAATGGTGATATCATCCCCTCACCTCCTATGAGTGTTATGAAGATAAATTCATTAATGTTTGACACACTCAGGTACCACAGCGATGAACGACATAGCAAAGCCCAGGAGGAAATTAATATTTCTCTCTTCAGAACAGGGTTTTAACATTGTGCAGTAAATAAGCCTAGGGCCACACACTGAACAATGGGGATAAACCAAAATACTGAAAAGCTGCTCTTTAAATGAGCATCATCCATTCTGTGCACTGAATGAGGCAGGGATCCTGTGGAAAGATAGTATGCAATCATGTAATTTCAGACTGTATCACAATGTATATGTACAAGGGGGTTGAACTAAGGTTAAATTAAAATACAAAATAGACCGAAAAACCAAACAAACAAAGAAACTAACCAAAAAAATCAAAACACCACAAAAAACAACCACACATACCCAGGAAAGCTAGTTATTTCACTGGATTGCTTGGGCCAAATTCAGTGGTAAATCTAAGTGAGTTTAGCTTTAGAGAAACGTACACTTTCCTGCCACTTCATGATGTATCACACATAAACCCACTCTCTACACTCCCTTATGCATATATTTGCACCTATTCAACACTACGTAATTTATATATCTCTGAATTGGGTCCACTGGTTACAATCCTGCTCCTACTGCAATCAATTGTAGAACTCCCAATTATGGTATACAACAGCTGGACTTTAATCTGGTATGTACAATGCATTCCAGTAATTTATCTGAATAATGATCCCATTTGCAGATGAGATACATTCAACGATATTTCAGATGGAAGGCAAAGACACAGAAATGAGTGACAGTCATACAATACACTGCCTCTTGTTTGCATTACACTGTAATCAGGCTTATCATTTTACAGTAATCTCCCATCTAATCAATAAGTGTCCTGATGCTACAGAGGATTAGTGTATCTGCTGTCATGTTCTAAGTAAATATGACAGGTAACACAAAATGAAGATAAGAAAACAATGAACTGCTAAGAAAGTGAAGAGCAGTGCTATCAGTTAAATACAACAGTAAACTCCAGTATCAGTCATCTTAGTTTTGAAAAACAAATATTTTGCATGCTATCTTGTTTTTTTAAAATGAGAGAGATGCATTAAAGCTCAAGGAACTAATGTTCTGAAAAAGTAGCTGCTTGCCTGTGGGTGGAGTGGCTGCATCGTGTTATACAGCTAGCACAGAGACACCAGCCTAAGAATATTCTTAGAACAGTATTCATGCTCAAGGCTGGCAGAGGTGGATTAGACTACAGAAGTAGAATCTTTGAGTGCTCTATTTAAGTAAGTGGGAACCGACTGCTGTCCTCTTGACCTCCTCACCCCCATTTGTCTGCTTCTCCCAGCATCATATTTGTGCTGGCTTCAGTGATGCCTTTTTTCCATGGAATGCCCTCCCTCAATTGGTCTGTAAGGTCAGTACCCTATCAAGAGCTACCAAGATATGTAGTAGAAATTAGGTAACTAATAGCAACAAGTCTGAGGAGCAGTCAGAGGCAACTGATATTTATTTATAAAACAAACAATATATTTAATGCACATAAAATGTACATGTTTTGACTATCTTTGTTCCCAACTTTTGTATATGGCTTGTCTTCTTAGCATATCCTGGGCACTACTGGAATGTAAATAACAAATAATAGCAATCATGCACCCATTGACACACAGAAGGTTTATGGCTCAGATACTCTGCTGTGCTAGTCTCTACTGATACAGTATGGGGGCAAGTGAATGTCAGGGAGCTGGTAATGGTTCTGTGATCATAGGTCTAATTTCATACCAGCCTTGAGGGAGTTTAAGTGTCATGCACAAACTTTATCAGGAGTGATTTTGTGTTTTCTTCCAGGTCATTGATAAAAATGTTAAATAGTGCAGAGCAAAGAACAAGTCCGTGTGGGACCCCACTTAATTTTACCCAGTTTACATTTACACTTTGTGACCTATGAGTTAGCCAATTTTTAATCCATTTAATGTGTGCCATTCTAGTTTCTTAATCAAAATTTTGTGTGGTATCACATCAAATGCCTTACAGAAGTATATTACATCAATACTATTATCTTTATTCAAAAAAACCTGTAATCTCATAATAAAGAGATATCAAAATGTTTGACAGGATCTGTTTTGCATAAAGCCATGTTGACTAGCATTAATTATATAACTGTCCTTTAATATTTTTAATTAATTGAGACCCATATCAGCCGTTCCATTGTTTTGCCCAGGATCAATGTCAGACTGGCAGGCCTGTAATTATCCACATTGTCCTGTTTACCCTTCTAAAATAGTGGCACAATATTGGCTTTCTTCTGGAACTTCCTCAGTGCGCCAAGATTTATTAAAAATCATCTAGAGAGTTCTTCTGCCAGCTTTTTTAAAACTCTGGGGTGCAAGTTATCTGGACCTGCTGATTTAAAAATGTCTAACTTTAGTAGCTGCTGTTTAACATCCTCCTGAGATACTGGCAAAATTGAAAGTATTTCATCATCATATGATATGCCTTCATCATCTGTTTTTCCCCCCAAACATAGAGCAGAAAAAATTATTCAACACTTCTGCATTATTATTAACAATTCTGCCATTTCCATTCAGTAATAAACCAATATCATTGCTAGGATTCTATTTGTTGCTAAATCTCTTCCTTATT